GAAAACATCCGGCGGAGATGCGGAAGCACTGGCATTTTAGAAGTCTTGCTCGGAAGAGGCCAGGCCCAAGGAAGCAGCCGGGAGTCATTGAGAAGAGATGGTGTACACGTACAGGCTTTGGGAATGGCCTGGAATGATACAACCAACTGCTAACAGAGTATAGCTGTGCAGCAGTATGAGAATTGGGAGTGAAGCTCAAGGGAGAATTTAATTTGTTACATATAGGAAAAAAAAGTATTCTTATAATTACTTGTGTAGTTAAAAATTATTTAAAAAGAAATTGCCTTGTAAGAAATTAGGAAGAATGTGAGTGAAGTGTGAAATTGAAGGGAAGGAAGAACTAAAAATGGACCTTGAGAAGAAGGAAGATTTTAGAGATGATTTTTTTTGGGGGGGGGGGGCTGAGGAGATGGAAGCATATTTTTAGATCTAGAAAAGGCATAATGGGGGAAAAAAACTGATTTTGAAAACGCAAGTCAAGAGAGTACAACTGATATCGCAAGGTGGAGGCTGGGCGGGGGGAGATGGAGGAAACGGAATTAGGACACAAGTTGAGGAGAGACTAGCACCTTAGGAAGGACATAGAAAAAGATCTGTAAAGATAACAAAGAGAAATATTAATGCACAGAGTGAGGGGGAAAGGGCGCCCTCTGGTGAGAGAGTGTGAAGAGAGGTCAGTTGCAGAGGGAAGGGGCAGGCAGGGCTCTGTGTTCTGAGGATGGTGGCAGAAGTTTCACAGAGCACATATGGGGAGGAGAACCCACTTGGGGTGACTCTAGTGGTTGCCTGGCTGTCGAGCAGACACAGCAAGTGGATAATCCTGGCCTCGCAAGCTTTCCTAGGAATACTTAACAGCTTTGGAACAGGAATAAGATAGCAAAGGTCTGAGGATGGATGAGGTGAGGACAGCAGAAGGCCAGGGTGTGACAGAAAGAGGAATAGTCTCACCAGCTGGAGTGGCTGCAATCAGGTGGTTAAAATGTGCCACATAAAAATGATGGTTTGTTGCTGTCTTTTTTAAACATCTGAGAAGTCCTGTGAAAAGTCTGGAACAGACTCCTTATTTCCACCACCAAAATTGTTCCAACTGGTTTTCTATCTACAATATCTGTTGTCTCCAAAGAAAAACGAAACTTAATTCTCCACTTTCCTTTTTCTGTGTAACTTTGTTTTTTGAGGTTCAAAAATACCCTCTTCCCACCAACTTGCATGCCCGCCTTCTCTGGAAAAAAGAGGAAATCATGGCTTGCTGAAACTGAACCAATCTGAATATGATTTTTCTAATTTCGAATGCAAATTTATGGAGAGGAGGCGAATTATAAACTAGAAGACAAAAAGACAGTCTCTGTCTTTTCTCTAATTATTCAACCAATCTCTAATTTTTAATGTAAGCTAAGATTTGTTACTTTAAAAATCACTTGTGTGCGCTTAGCACTGTCAGAAAAGCTAAATCTTTAAATAATGAAAAAACACATAAACAAGAGCTATTTCTTACCGAAATATATCACGATGGTTTTTGATGTTCCAATCATATTCTCCTTTACTGACAAGTTCAAAGAATTCAGTTCTCCTCCTGCATGAAATCAAATGAAGAAAGAAAAAAAAAAACCTGGAATGAAATTTCTCAGTCTGTGGGGTGACATAAACACATTTATGGGAAAATATAAGACCACCTGAACCAAGTAACTTAATATTTGAAATCATGAGGCTAAAGCACTATCAAAATAAATCACTTTAAAAAAAATGTTGAGGCTTCAAGAAAAAGCTGCAATCATTTCTGAATGTATTTACAACAGAGAAGATTATCGAGCCATAAAACAGAAAACAATTTGGTCCTGCATTTAGGATTACTTGCTGTGAAGCCCTTGTGGCATTTACTGAAAGTCAGAGAAGAAAGGCAAGGACAAATAAAATGTGGGAACAATTCTGGAATGTTCTTTTATCATTCAACATAGAACTGAGCTGTATGATGATTCAAAATAAGATAAACTCCCTGGTAGTAAATTCAGGATACTTTTTTCTAGGTAAGAAAATAACTAAAATAACTATTTCGGCATTTCAGTGCTTAAACACTTAAGCTGTGGAGTCAAAAATAACTGTTTAAACAATGGGTCAGGCACCTACTTGTGCAGCTTTGGCAAGTCACGTAAGCCCTCTGAGCCTCAATTTCATAACCTCTGACATGGTGATTAGATTCACTAACTCACAGAGTTATCGTGAGGATTAAATGAGATGACATAAGAAAGCGTTTAGCGTAGTATCTGCACATTTTAATGCCAGATACACACACATACAGATACAGATTTGAACGTATATAGATATGAAAAAGACAAGAGGGAATATTCTAAAGTTGTGAAAATAAGGGTGATTTATTTCTATTTTCAAAACTTCTCTTTAATCTAGTTATACGACTTTTTATTATGACAGCGAGAAAGGAAAAAAGAGAACATCAATATTTTTATTCTTTTAGAATCATTTCCCAATGTTTCACCTTCTTGGCACTTTCTAATGAGAGATAAAGGGTATGATGCACTGTTTCCAGAAGTGATTATTTCCTGGTTAAGTAGGTTTGAGAAATGCTGCCTGTAATATGCCTCTCTTGGAGTTTTAGCACCTACATTAGCCTTTTGAAGGCTCTCAAAAATACTGAGCTAGAAAAAGCCTACTTAGCCTACTTAACCATAGAATTCCATAGTTCCAATGTTTTAAGAAATACACAAGGTGGTGTTGGAAAATGCTACCATGTCACGTATGGTGGAAATCAGAGTAAGATCTTAGACACTCAGTGCTGACTCATAGTCTGGGGGGAAAAGGACAGGATGCTGGGTGCAATTGGCTCTCCTGTTTCTGGTCTGGGTTCCCTAACACCGCTGACCAGCTTCTTGTCATCAGGTCAGACTGACTACTCAATTTACCTGAAGGGGGACAGGTCAGGAAGACAATGTGGCTCACTTCCTTATTTTGAGACACAGACAGGTCCTGGACCTATTGCTTCAAGTAGATACAGGTCAAGGCCATCTCACAGTATGGGGGAATCTCTACAACAACCTCATAGCAATTGGTAAGATGGTACCGCACAGTTACATGGAAGGGCCCAGCAACTTCTCTCCTGTTTGGGCGTGCAGGTGTGTACATATCTTTTCTTCTTATAACTTTACCATCTTTTTCAATTGCCCACTCCCTTCTTTATGACCACGGTCATGCCTTTTCACTTCGCCACTGTGACTGTGAACTGAAATAGAAAGGGAAGTAGTGGAATGAAGAGAGCCCAGATCTGGACTCAACACTGACCTGGGCTCAATGCTGACTGTTATTTACTAGCTACATGGTCCTGGGCAAGTGATTGCACATTGCCTCAGTTTCCAGTTTTGTGGTAATAATTTGAGATGAGGTACATTAAGTGTGTGGCACTGGTAGATACTCCATACCTGATAGCTATGGTTAATATGCAAATATTATTAATAGTGTTACTGCCAACAATAATACACAGTGGGCTAGTTGGACTACATGGAGATCGAAGATGTCATCTAGTTCTTTCTCTCTGAATGGATATTAGTCTTCTTTCGAATAATTGTGGAGGAGAAAGTTTGGTTCAACAAATATTTATTAAACACCTACTCTGTGCCAACTCTTTACTAGGCTTTATGGAACAAGACATGGACATGGTCTTTAAACATCTTTGAGTTTAGCAGTGGTGACCAAAAAAAATAGGTAATTCTCCTTCAAATGCGATACAAATGATAATACTAATGATACTGGGACTAGAGTGAAGTGAGGAAGGCACTCACCTTGGGCACAAAATTTGAGTAATCCAGTAATCCAGACAAATAATATTTGAATGCAATATAAAAAAAAAAGACAATATAAAGACAAAAAACAAAAAACAAAAAACCATGAATAAAATATCAAAATTTTAAATAAAGATAGGGTTTATGTTCACTCCTGGATCCCCAGTGCCTACAACAGTGCTGACATGTAGTAGGAGCTTAATAAATATTTGTTGAATTGATGCATGCGTGAAAAAGATTATCTCATAAAGCTATTCATTAAAAAAAACAAAAAACAAAAACTCTTCAGCCACTGATTTCACCTAGATTCTAGTTGTTCTGGGATCTTCACAGTTGCCATTTGGAGAGATTGTGATAAGAAAACAACAGAAAATTCATTCAAGAAAAGCCCTGCCAGATTCTCAGAGACTAGATTCTAACTTGAACCAAGCAGACATCATAAGAAATTGTGGGACATTTAAGAACGCCATTCCATCCAATGCCTGACCTTCCTTTCACTGATTATTGTTATATTTGCTGAGAGTGAGTTTGATAGATGAGACATAACGTTTTTGATGAAAAGTGGAGCCATATTGCCTAGGTGGCTAACTCAATGCAGAAAATAATTTTTTAAAATACAAATCTATGATGTGCCAATCAAATAGCACCATAAGAATAAATTTCCCAGTGATGGAAAGTTTAATAGCTAGGGTTGCTGGTGTGTAAGCCTTAAATCAAGTGAACCCCAAATCAGTCATAGGCTTCACATCACATTATAACAAAGCTATATTTTATTACATTAAGACAAAAGAGAATATCCACTATCTGTAGAGGATGGTGGATAGAGGAGAGGGGGAGGGATTTTTTTCATAGGACACAGAAGAACATGGCGTACTAATTTTATTTTTCCTCCACTGACCAAAGTATATAATTTCTTGATAGGTTCTATTTATTCTGGTGTCCCAAGGTTTGGCTATGACCTCAGAAAGTAATAGGAGACTTCCTGCACACCATAGTTTTATCAAGATAAACATGGGAAAAATCTAGTAACTGGTGGAACCACGTATATCATACATCTGGTAATAATACATTTGGTAACATAAATGCCAAATAGATGCTTTAAAGTTTAAACCAAAGTGCATTTAAACTTTTTTTTAAAGTTTCTGAAAATTAACATCTTGAAAGATCAGGAGATGGGGTTAATCATTTTCATAAGGCTGCAAAAGGATTTTTGAAGTGATGATATGCAAAGTTCACATAACAAATTTATTATGCATATTTAAAATAGTTTAAAAGGCATAAAATTACAGAATGGACAGAGAATCTGTCTATCTCTTTACCACTCAGCCTGGAAATAAGGCTTTACCCATCCTGTTGAGGGCCTTGTGCATCCCTGTACTGCTGCTTCTGCCTCCCTCCCTGCCTCCCACCACAAGACGGCCATTTTCTAAATTTTGCATAAATCATCTTCACATATAGCCTTATAATTTTACCAGGTAAATTATGCATAATGTTGCTCTGCACGTTTAAAAATTTTAAAAATGGTGTCATCATCGTATCTGTATTCTTTGGCAACTTGCTTTTCTCACTCAGTGTTTATGAGATTCATCCGTGTGGCTACATACATTGCTTGGCCACTCCCTTTCACTGCCGTGCTGTAGTCCATGTATCAGTATATCCCTGTTTATTTACCCATTTTCTGATGGTGCAAATTTAGATGACTTGCAATTTTTTTATTATATATCATGAACATCCTTGTACACGTCTCTGTGAATTCATGTGATTTTTCTATTTCTGCCTCTCTGTCTCTTTGTCTCTGTCTCTGTCTGTTTCTCTCTCTCTATATATAATATATACACATTTACTTATGTATATGTAAAATTGCTGGGACATAGAATGATTTTTCTGTATTTAACGAGCTTTCATTATAATTACAGACTGTTAAAGGTATCTGAGACCTTTCAGGAAATATCTGCTGTAATTCATGTTATAGGTGAGGAAATTCAAGGTGAAGGAAGATGAAGTTGATTGCTAGGGTCTCTCTCAGGGCAGTTATGGGAATATCTAGGTAGGTTCCAGGTTCCCAGCCTCCCAGTTCTGGCCTCTGAGACCATCTTTGTAAATCGTGTGTAACATGAACCTTGTGCATTGTGAGAATATGAACAGCAGAGGTTGGACCCCTTCATGAGCTCATGGCACTGCAAGCTGCTGTACCCAGTGCCGGACACCACAGCAGGCTCCAGGCAGAGGTCTTTCTATCACCAACAACGGGGTACTCCAAGCAAGAGCTGTAGGCGGCTCTGGTCAGGTTGATGATTCACAGCTTCACGTGGTTTATTTCTGACCTCCTCCTTGGTGATAATCATTGCAAAACAACAATGTAAAATTCACTGTGCTTTTGAGAAATGAATTTGCCCACACAGCTGCTCATTTTAGCATCTATATGTGTATGTGTATGTACATTATAGAGTCAGCAGCATGAGCATATGTAAAAATGTTAAAAATAGGAGCACTTTTAAAAACATGGGACTGATAAAATGAACATTTGAAAAATACACAAAATTATGTAATACTCCTTGGATCTAAACCTCTTTGTCATAAGGAACTATGTCATTAACTTCTCAAGCAGATCATTGGGAACCTTGGTTTTCAAGGACAATGGCAAATACCTCTGCTAGTGAAAAGCAACTTACTGGAAAATCTCATTTATAATCAGATATGTTTTTATTAGGCTTTTATCCTGCTCTCCTGACATATGTTCCACTCAGAGAAATAGCAGTCTTTATTACAAAAGCATCATTTGAAC